TTTATGTTATTTTTATAGAACTACTAAATATATTCATAACCACTAATGGTAGTAATGGTAAAGCCTGTATGAGTACCTCAATTGAAAACTACACAAACAGACAAAGCCTTTAAGTAATGGTGTTTTGGTAATAAAATTCCGGTGCATTGAGCGCCTGGAGTTCAGTCCTCGTTGTATAATGAAAACCAATAATGAAATGTAATCTCATTTGACATTTTAGAGGAAAAATCAAACAAAAAAAGGTAACTTTGAACTTGAAATTCTGTCATATTATGTACGCTATAATTATTGCATATATAGTGTACGAAATAATTGTTCGCTTGTTCGCATAAAACCCATTGAATATAATTAGTGGATTACTTAATCATATGTTTATTATGCATATAATGTGAATATATTTAAATAAAAGTAAAACTCAATCAACATTTTGCCACACGTTTTATGCATAATATCGTTCACTTCATTATAACGAATACTAAATGTAAAGTAAAGTGAATATAAGTTTTAAAACTCAATTTGCAATTAATATTCAAACACACGAGACGTCATATGAATGAGAAAAATAACAAAATGCTATTAATATTTGAATTTCTAAATCAAGTTTGAGATAAATTTTTGATTTTTAATTCAATATCTCCTATAAATGATTAAACGATTTTTATCGCATAAAGCATTTAATTAAAATAAATTTACACAAAAACCTCAAATTTAATTAAATGTATAATTCAAACAGCAATAAGAGAGAGAATATACATAGACTTAATCGTAAAATATATGGTAATCTAAATGATCGTTAGATTAAATTGTTTTACTTCAAGACAAAAGTCTATTAAAAACATCGAAATAAAGTTACAAATAATAACTCAATAAAAAATAACAGTTAATAAAATGAGAGAAACACTTGTTAGGCATAACCGAAAGGCTAATTATATTAGTTTATTATTACGTAAAACATAGAAATAGTGCTAAAATGAGTGAATTGACAAAAAATAAAGCAAAAATTATTAAGAATTATAATTAAAGAGCCATTAATTTAATAATCCCTACATTTAATCAAATTGAATGACGGCTCGGAAAATATGAATTATTTATAAATCAATTCAACAGTAATTATATTACAAGAAAACATATGTCTGAAAAGTATGTAATCATAATATGATTGAGAAAAAATATGTGAGAAAAATAAGGTTTACTTAATTTAACAACAAATATCTTGTAATTAATTACAAAAAATTCAAATCTAACAAAAAACAAAGGCATGAATTGGCGGCTGACATGTATTTAAGACCTAATTCTTGGGATCAAACGCTATAACCCGGCTCTCAATCGGAAGGTATTGTAGGTATAAATGCTGTGGGGATATGGCTTCGGGTCAACAATAGCCTAATTAATGCTTTTATCATAAATAGCTATAAAAGGATTATAATATGCAAAACAAATATGACATTAATATTAATGATTAAACTTATAGTTTTTAAATAATATATTCCTATATTAAGAATATTGGATTAAATTATATTAAAAATTATGTTAATTAATCACATCTCAAATTCAATTAACAAATTAATCAATAAAATAGCGGCAAATATTGGCTAAAAATAGTGATTAAAATATTTTTACAAATTATTATAAAAGAAAAACCATTTTAACAATTAATGGTTGGTTTAGAGGAAAAATAACCAAATATTAAAAACAGAAAAAAAACTTTCATTGGGTTTTTGAAACACTTTTCGTAATAATAAAACGTTTAAAAATATAAATTATTTATAATTTAAAAACTCAACACAAAAGAAATGCTATTAAAACAAGAAAACGAAAAATATATTAAAAACAAAACCATATAATAATGCAATGATTATAAACTAGAATTTCATGGGATTTCAATTATTATAGCGATAAATGTTTTAATAATTCATAAACTATATTACAAAATATAGCAAACATTTAACAAAAACTAATCTCAATTTAAAGTTTCAATTTATAGTATTGTAATAATCAATAGAAAAGATAAAAAGTTTTTTGACATAAGAGTAAAGAACTTCCACAACACTAAAAGAGGAAAAATGAATTTATTAGATAATAGTCTTTTGGGTGTAATTGAAAACACATTAATATAGATATTAAAAAATAATTTTCTCTAAACACTGAAAAACTAATGTATTTATTGAATAGAAAGGGAGGGAAATGGGAGGCAATGAGAAAGTGAATGAACAGATATATGCAAAATGTGTTCAAAAAGTGTTGCAAACCTGGAGGCAATTTGACCACATCTCGCAGATTAATGCCCGAACCCAGGCTAGCGATCGCTTGTTTATGAAGGCTATACCTAAGAGTACCAGGCTCAAACTTCTTCTTAGGCCGGAACGTCTGCTAAACATTTACAAACAATCAATACGTTAGTCATTAAATCGTTACTCAATTAATACATTATAATATAATTTATAATTATCACTAATATTACAATTGTGTTAGAAATTCATCATAAATTAAGTGCAAACTTGGCGTTCACTACACTATACTGTGAACGGAAATATACACTATATTTATGAACAAATTTATACCACCAGTAAATTACATGACATGTTAACTAATATATCAATTACACAACAAAACAAAAAAGTTACAAATAGTGTTACGACAAACAAGACATTTATAAGACATTGTTATTTACAACACCGCATATGCAGTGTTGGGGAGGACAGGGTTGACAATCACCACACAATGAATGCATGCATATATACAGTATATATGGGTATCGAGAATACCCCCGATTATGGACCAAAAGGGAGACCAAACCAAACAAACGACATCACAATCAATGGATAATATGATAAAATAAGGTAAAAAATGTCTAATAAAGTCCTACATTCTTATTATAGCGTACTTTTTTGCCCCCCTTATGGAAGAACTCCAAGAAAGACATCGATGCCATCGGAACCGCTCACAGCTGTTCACAGACTGTCGATCACCAGATGATCACCTGATGGCCAGTAATTGGTACTGATTTGGCGCTCAAACCGCACAATAGTGTCGCACAAAACAGAGGCACAACTATAACAATATACTGATTGTATAATCACTGAATGATAACTATTGTATACTTTTGTATATCAAATCAATGGCAAAACAAACACTCAAACGATTGTATAGTTTAGATGTTTGTGAATCTGTAGTATATATGGGATGAGGACTTGAATCCACTTTCAGCCCAACCGACGATGTATTGAGCGATGAGTCATAAGCTATTCACGCAATGCTTGCAAATGCAACCAAAAGTAATGGTTTGTTGTTATCGGCCGTCAATTCAGACACTTATTATTAGACAACACTTTTGTAATCATTTCATCCAAACACTTATATATCGCATATTTCGCATATATTTCAGTCAATTCATTGCAATTCATAGGAAAATATAAATATATTAATTAGAAATATATATTTTACGCAATCATAATAAACATCACTAATAATGGCTTTACATTCAGTACACAATTGAGTGAATTCAGTACGAAATGAATGGTAAGACTGACTGACTGTCTGTAGTGTTGAGAAACCGCACAAACATATTGTGAGTACAGGTTTTCCTCTCCCTATGTATTCAACAACCAGTTTGTTGTCTGTTATAGTGTTTTATACATGTAGTGGTGTTTACTGTCGTTCCGGTCCTCACTATTAGAGGTGTTCACGCGATTCCCAAATCATATCATGCAATGAATTGATACAACTTTTATTTAATTTGATATTAATTTTAAACATATTTTCACTCATAAACAGTGTTTTATTTATATTTCGTATGAAATTTGTATATAAAATGAAAGACAATTTTTTCACTCTTAATGCAACATAGTTTTGAAGCATATTTTTGCGACACTAACGCTGTTTTCAATCAAATGCAAAAAGTTTATAACGAATACCATATTTTACATAAAACCTGATATTCTGTATCTCATATACAATACACTATATTTTCCAATCAATTAATGCCCTAAAAGGAAGTTTATATTAACATATCTTTTGATATGTGAACCACTCTTTCGGCTTTTAGTTAAAACATTGAAAATATATAATCTTTTGGACAAAACTAACATTTCTGGTCCTCACGAATAAAATTATAAAATTTTTTATTAAAAGCTCAAAAAGTTTTATAGTTATTCTCATTTGTAATTATTTTGTTTATTAAAAACTTGTCATTTATTACCACTGTTTTGATGAGAAAAATATTTATTTATTTATTATATTTTAGCAAAAAATACAAATTATTTATTTGTGTTTAGATTAAAAACACTGATTTCTGGAAAACTAGTTTCCAATGACTTCTAATAAAAAGCAAGAAAACTGTTATTTTTTGTTGCTTTTTGTTAATAATAAACGTGTTGTGAGAAATGTTTTAAAAAGCACCGGGGGTTTAAAGGCACTAATGGTTTAGGAATTAATAATAAATGTCTTCAATTTATTTTTAAAATAACTTTAATTAACAAAAGAGTAAGAAATAGAGATTGTATTTAGGATTACAATAATAATAATATTATGTATTTAAGCTTTAAATATATCTCTTTTCGACACTCCCTGTGTCTTAAGGTTTATTAGTATTTGTTTCCTACGTTTTTGAGAGACTTTTTTTGGTATAAAATTTTGAATACATTTTAATATTTTTTATATACATTTTATTAAAAGCCATATTAAGTAGAGGCGGAACCCCACAAACAAAACTAAAAAAGCATTACATAAATAAAAGATAATTAAATCAAACTCCAATTGATTCAAAATTTATTAGGAAATCATTGAATTTTTAGTGTAGAAATAATTTTTACTTTTATTTAGTAATTAAATATAATTTTCATTCAACTGAAAAGCAAATATTAATAAATATTTTCACAAATAACCAATAATTTATGTTGTAAACATATACAGTAAACACTCGTTATAAGAAAGGTATCAAATATGTGCCAAAAGAATCAGTTTCAGTCTCATTGACCAGTATTTTGTAGACTATAGTGAGAGCTCATTATGTAATGTTTATCTGTTATTATTTAGATAATAAGCTTTTAGATAAGTAGCGATAAGTTAATAGTTATGAATGATTAGCTAAATGTCTGCATTCAATCAAAAGTAATGATAATATCGTTAATGACACACATATTGTCGTTACAAAAACAAACATAACTTATAATTCATTAAAACTACGCTTTCATTCAATTCATGTATTTATTGCTCAGGAATTTAATTAATATGAAAGTGAGGCCAAAGTTAGCAATTATTTCCAAACAAATAAATTTAAGTTTTCAAAGACTTTTAATTATGGATTGAATTTCAATAAAACTCACGAAAGAATACATTTTTATTCATTAAATGCATATTGAATTTGAAATAAAAGAAATATTTTAAAATTCAATTCAATTGATTAACAAAAGGCTATTTAATTAGTAAAATATGTTACACACATGAGTTATGTGTGTAACATATTTTATGTGACATAACTTTCCTATACCCAGCATATCTACTATTAAATACTAAATTCACCACGCTTATTGATAAAGTATCTAGGCGATTCTAATGCTATAACATTGTACAATGTGTACACATATTGAAATATAACTCGCATAACACTGTATGCGAAATAAGTGCCAACTTTTGTTGCATTCAAATAAGTTTTAGCGTTTGAATTGAAATGCAAATGAGTTGTTGGACTAAAATTAGTTGCGTTTGTAATGTCTGAACACAAAACACAATACAAACAGGCGTTTGAAGTGTGGCTTAACTTAAAAATAGATGAATTAACTCGAAATGGGAGCCAAAAAAGTGTCAAAAAGTTAGTTAAACGCAAAAATGCATTGAATTATGTGTTAAACACAACACGAGATGACGTTTGCGTTTCACTGTTTGGGACAAACACTGCATTCAATGTCACAAACAATCATATGATTGGAGTTATCAAAACATTACTACAAAACACATTCACATTCACTACTATTTAGTGAACACTCATTACTGTTAACTCATTCACAAATGCATTCAAACACACAGTTATGTCATGTTTAAGTGTCGGCCAATACACGCATATATAGTGTACACCCTTTACAGTGAACTGTCAACACTTGAGACCATTTACTGCACACCAGATGTGAGTTGACTATAAAATGAGCGCTAATTATAACAACAATATTGTATTGAATATAGTTTTAGCCGCCAATTGATTGTCACCAACGATGTGGT